GTATTCTGCTACCTGGTTCCTCTCAAATTATCCCTTTACCTTGTTTCTACTTATTTATCTAGGTCGGCAAGACCTCCTCCGCAGACAGCGTGCGATTTTAACAGCCCTCTCAACTGTCTCCTACCCACTGAAGTTTAGCCACTAAGGTTGGCAATCCCACTCTTCTCACTTAGCTTTGGGGAAGATACATTTTTATTAAAATTCCACTGCTCAGAAACTCCTTGACAGAGCTGGGCAGTGATGACACACGCCCTTAACCCCACACTTGGGAGGCAGAGGCAGGCAGATCACTGTGAGTTTGAGGCCAGCCTGGTCTACAGAACGAGTTCCAAGACAGCCAAAGCTGTTGCACAGAGAAACCCTGTCTTGAAAACAAACAAATAGATCAATCTTCTTTCTCTTTTAAACTACTTGTTCAGACTCAGAAGGGGGCAGAGGGTTAAGGCTAGTCAAACAAGAACCAAAGACACTTGAAACCACAAGACAAGCCCTTACAGCGGGACTCCACTGAAGACTGGAAACACCTGAAACTTCTTTTTCTGTTAAAGGAAAGCTGGACCCAGGCAACTAAAGGAAACCTTTTAGAGGCTAGCCCCCTACATGCTCTCTACCTCCTGTTTTCACACTAAGGAGCAGAACGCATGTCCTGGGCTGGGACCCTGCAGGTTTCTGTGGGAATAACAAGCACCCGCCCTGCTATGGTTCTGAAAGCTTTCTATTCTCGAGATTTAAAATAACATTAAAGTGACTTTGGAGAAAGCCCATGAAATTCGGTCCTCAATTCAGAAACAGGCCTATGGGATAATTTGTGGATGCCATCTGGGATCCAGGCAGTCTCATCAACAAAAGGGAAACTTGTTGAGATCATCCAAATCTAAAATTCACATACATTTTCTACATCTGGACTGAATTAATCTTTTCTTGGTACTGGCTTTCACGTAACAAAATAATTGTTTGCAGGTTTCATTTAAACACACACACACACACACACAGCTTTGGAAATCAAAATGTATAACATCCAAGTTGAAAACTACAAAGAATTCCTTTATCAGAGAGTTCGCTGTGAGGCAGGAGTCATTTACACAAAACTCTTAAACCTGACAGCGCCATCAAAAACAATTCTATTTGAAACTTGCATTCCAAGCAACAGCCACAAAAGGCTACACGGCCCATTATGTCATAAGTTCTGAAAGCCAAAAGCTCTCTACAAGCATAGTTAAACGTGGAACGGTCTTCAACAGCCCCCAATTCAGCCAGCCCAACTGAATGACAGATTTTTAAAAAGCTATAGCACACTGGCATGTTGCCTTCAAAGCAGGGCCTCAGGAGCCTGCCCAGGTTGCTTGCAGGCATTTTCCTGGAAAGCCAGGGGTATCTGAAATCTACACGCTCAGATTGTGTACTCGAAGTTGGGGTCTTACCCCTGTTAGATCCAAAAAGGGAGGGACGAAGAAGACAGAAAGATTTTTTCCTGTGTCAAAAGGTTTTGAGCCCTGCAAGAACTGCCCATCACGTCAAATCACGGGTATTCTACAAGTAACTCAAAACCGGCGGGGAACGAATTCTGATTAGAGTCAGCCCACTTTCCGGAGAAGATATCCTGCAGATACCTTGATACGGGATATCCCCTGGGGGACCCCCTCCACCTAATAATCCCACCTAAAGTCTATTTCACTATGAAATATGAAGTCAGTGTGTTTACAAACATAGCTCCCTCAAAAAAACCCCACATTTCCCTGTCACCTGCCTCCAATTGTGGAGCATTCTCATTTTTAACGTAAAACTGTAATTTCTTAAAACCACACCTAAGGAAAATGATTAGGTGCTAGGAGTTTTACTACAAAGGACCGGGGCAAAAGGCATCTGTTTTCCTGCCCCTTTCTGCTCCCTTCCCCTCCCCCCACTCTCCATCCTGCAAACCATTTGTAGGTCTTGGTTGTTAAAACTTTGTACAGCAGTCACAATACTCTAGATTCCAGATAAAGAAAGCAAACAAAACAAAACAAAACAAAACAAAAAACCAAGAAGCCTTCTTGTCCCTTTAACAATGCTGGGCCTGAATTTATGCACTGTTCTTAAGGAGAAAACCCAAAAGTCACAAGTCTTTTAAATGACAGATGTATTACGGAAAATTTTCCCCACAGAGTTTTGATGCTGTGAAATATCAACTCCCTGAAACCACAGAAAGGAAATGACTTACATTCTTGGAAAATGAAGCCACTAGCAGCTTTCTCCAAAAGCATTCTCTAATCCCCAAACTACACCCTGTGGCAACAGGGGGTATTTCGTGTAAAAACTAAATGTAAGTAGACGCTTAGAAAACCAGTGAACAAACATCACCAGGTCCAAAGAAAGGAGGGAATCGTGTGTGGAAAATCCGGCAAGGTACACTTTCCCTCCACATTCAGAAGTGCGGAGAACCTTTGCGCAAGTTTTCTTTCCCCGCTGTGGGCACCACACAGCTCCCGAGGGCAATGCAGGCAAAACAGACCGGCTGCTTAAATAAATAAATAAACAAAACCAAAAAAGGTGTAAGGGGGCCAATGAGGTAATATTTCTTCTTCCGACACCAGCCACAGAACTGCACGGTCTGAAAATCGTGCCAGCTTTTATTTTAACTTTAAATGTGCTTGTTTTGACAGCTTTCCATCTATCCCCGCCTTTAAGAGAGCGCCCCACCATTAGGCTAAGCCATCCTGGAACTCCAAGTGTTGTTTTTAATCCTGTAGCCCTCACAAGGGTGGCCCCCAGCTGTCCGCGTCCCCGCCTTCCCGGCTCAAAGGAGGCTAGTGGTCTTTGCTTGGCCGTGTTAAGTTCCTCCAGAAACCCAAATTCTACAGGCCGCACCCCCCGCTCGTGTATCCCTGAGGCCCCCTTCAGGGGCTTCCCACACTAGGCAATTGCGGGGACCCCGGACGGCCGCACTGGGGTGCTGCCTTCCCAAAGCCGGCAGCCCGGCCTGCGCGCACAACAGGCAATCCTGCACAGCGCTCGGGAACACCCGGTTCACGACTGGTCCCAGCTAGTCAGACGGGGCGCTACAAGGAGGCGCCCCACGAACCGGGGTCTCGGAGATTGGGGACTCAGGATCGCAGCGCCGAGCACCCCCAGCTCCGCGCCTCCCTCGCGGCCGCGGCTGCCCCGGGACTCCAGCCTGGGCGAGCTCCGACTCGCGGAGAGACGACCTGCCCGCCCGGTGCCCGACGCCCAGAGAGCCCCGTGAGAGACAAGAAAGACGCCGAGAGCGGCACTGCGGGGAAATCGCACTTTAGACCAGCAGGGGGCACAGCGGCGGCCGGGGTGCACCGTCCCAGAAAGGGAGCCAGTAGGCCCGCGCCCGCTCCCGCGCGTACCTCCGAAGTTGCCAGCGCCAATCGTCCGACTCCGAACCGGCGTCTGCTCCAGCGGCGCCGAGTCTTCTCGCTGCTCCCAGCCCCTCTGCCGCCGCCAGACCAACGCCGCAACTGCCCCGCCCCCCGCCCACGCCTTCCGCTCCGCCCCCTCGAGCCCACGCCTACGCCCCGCCTAAGACACGCCCCACTTTGCCCGAGGCCCCCCCCCTCCCCGAGTTGGATGCGGAGGCCGAACAGCGGAAGAAGCCGAAAGCTCGGGATCGCGGCCGCACGTGGAGGCTGCCCTCTCCGCCCCGCCCCGGACCTAACCAACAATCCCGCGGAGGGGTGAGGCGACCTGGGGGCGAGGGAATGCGGGGGAGAGCCGTCCCTCCTCTGAGCCTCGGATAACTGAGCCAGGCTCAAATACAATAGAATGGACTCTGTCTTTGCATGCCTTCTCCTGGTACGACGGATGCCAGGGCACGATTGTAGACTGTTGGCTCCCCCCTCCGTCTGAATGATCCACTTCTCCGCTCGCCTCCGCACCTCCAGCCCCCTTGGCGCACCCTTGGAGGCCCAGACGGGTTACCTATGGGTGGCTGTTTGACCTGAGATCTCGCTTGATAATTAGGAATAAACAGGGGCGGCCACTCCGAGAGGAGGCGGTCCCCAAAGGAGGCGGCTTCGTGACTCCTCTGTCCCCTCCTGTCCCGCTCCCACCTAGTCCTTATAGCAGGATGTGGGCGCGGCCCAAACCCATCCGCCCCCGCTCAGTCTGTCTTTCCCAGTTGGCACAGCCTCTGCCTGTGACCCTCAAAATGATGCTCGCTCCAGGTGAAGCTGGCCCGCACAGCGGCGAGTAATGCAGGAGGCAGCAAGAAATGATTTCATTGGCCCCAAAGACCCCAGCAGGGCTTGGAGGTTTCCTTGCCTTCCTTAGTTGTCAGGTGAAGTTAAGTTCACCTTGTTCGGCACCCATCTGGCCCTGCAGCGGTGCCTGGCAGGTTAGAGAGAGCGACCCCAACTGGCCACGAGGCTTGCCACCCACAACTACACGCTGGGTTCTGTGGGCATTGCTGCTCTGATGAGGGGGCGGTCTGTGTGTCTGGCTTTGCCAGGTAGGTGCAGAGACCCATGAAAGAACAATTGATAACCGGTAGAATCTAGCTTTGAAATTGTCCCCGCCTTTCGATCCATACATAACTATATAAAGCTCTCTGTTATTGATTGAATAGACGTGCCTTAATCTGTGTGACTTGTTTGCATAGCCAGAGATGGTCAATTTAGGGTTCCTTACAGATGCTTGGAACAGTTAACTTCTGTCTTAGTTATGGTTTCTATTTCTGGGATTAAACACTATGACCAAAAGCAAAGGGTTTTATTTTAGCTTCCAACTCCCAGGCCGCTCTCCATCACTGAAAGAGTGGGAACTCGAACCTGGTGTCAGGAGCTGATGCAAAAGGCCTTGGATGAGTGCTACTTACTGGCTTGGCTCAGCTTGCTTCCTTAGAGTATCCAGGACCACGAACCCAGGGGTGGCACCTCCACCCCCAACACATACACACATGAGAGCTGGCCCATCTATCAAGAAAATGCACCGAAGGCCAATGTGGTTGGGGCATTTTCTCAATTGAGTTCCATCTTCCCAAATGACTCTCACCTATGTCAAGTTGACATAAAAACTAAACAGCACACCCCCTCAAAAACCTTTCCTGTTTGGAGAGTATGAAAATTAAGGATTGTGATCACTTACCTTTTCTTAGGCCGTTTCTACGAAAATTACACTTAGAGCCTACAGTTGTGACCTGTTTATGGAAAGCAGAACAAAAAGTGTGTTTCAATAAAAGCTTTTACTTATTGTTATACTAATATAAAATACTAGTTAACGGTAGTGAATCGTGGTGTCTTGTATTGCATTTAAAGTAGGTAATGGGGTCAGAGAGGTGGCTTTATCAGTAAGACACCAGTGGCCAATCCTGATACAGTACCCCCTGATGGAAGGAGAAAACCAACACCCCAAAGTCTCTGACTTCCCCGGGAGCACATGAACAGAAGCCTTGTTCCTCTCATGTTTTATACTTACTCAGGATGGGTACGTACTGGGTATTAGTTGGGTAATAATATAATCAGTGTTTAATGAGACAAAACAGGATTTATTGTATATGATAAACAAGAAACATATTACTGTTTTAGGAAAGAGTTCCTAAATCTGGTTCATTTTCAGGTTTCATGTATCAAAATTTAGCAGAGAAAAAAAGAAAACAACATATTGTTAGACTGTGAAACAGAACTGCAATTATTGAAACAATTAGGCAACCCAAAGAGCAAAATATTTTAAATAGATTGAAAAAATGTTCAAGAGTGGATTTATTGCCCAGTTTAGATTGTCTTAAAATTTATTATGTGAATTTTTTTTCCTGAATTGTAACGGCCAAATTTTAACAGCGATGAATTGCACAGTAACCCACTCTTACATAACACATTTTGTAAACTACTTCAAACTTTCTAAATCAGTTTTATAAACCCCTGCGACATAAAATGCCACGAGTTGCCTTGGAAGCAACACACAGGGCACTAAAGACAGAAAGGGGACTGAGAAAGAATGCATTTCTTATCATCACAGGATATGGTTTTTAATGTGCTCATTACGATAGGAATGTAGTTCTGTGTGCAGTCTGGCTTTCTCCTTCAGTCTTGAGATCTAGTTTATTTTCACTGGTACAATGAGATGTTTCTCTAATGTGTGTTACTTCACCAGTGACACATTCTGAGCATCCTAAACTATCACTTTTCCCAAAGCATTTAAATATCAGCATGACACGTTTTTAGTTTTGTTTTTCTTTGGATCTATTCCATGGGTGTATTAAGTAGTCCCAACACTGGGGCATAGGGTTAGCCCTGCGAGTCAAAGATAAAAATTCACTCCTGCATCTTAGAGCAGATGGAGAGGACAGGCAGAAAGCTAAACAGCTGCAGCATCCTCGGTGCTGAGGTAGAGTTACTCTGGAGGAATACTGCAAAGGCCTTGACACCTTCAGGGAGAACATTAGACATTCCCCGGGACCTGAGAGGGGAAGAAGGAACAGAGCGTTCCCTCGGAACCAGCTTGTTAAGGCAGTTCTCCTCAAGCCTGTCAGAGTACTGGGGTCATCTGGAGACTTCAGAAAACTAGCAAAGAGTGTGTACTAGGTCTGGATTATAGCCTTGGCTTGGGAACATTTTGAATATGCCCACGTTATGTGAAGAAATACTTAGGGTCAGGTACTATAGGGTCTCAGGTAGGGTCACAGAATGAGGAAGTATCCAGAAGCATGCCTTGCTTTTAAAGCTTGATATACATATAGCTTACTCCTGAAATCAAAAGGCTTATATAGTTTAAGTATTTGCTTGCTTGTTTGTTTTACAAGCTCTTGCTGTGTATTTCTCACTGGCCTCAACTTGTAGTAATTTTCTTCCTTTCTATGACTACTGAGAGAGCAATCAAAGACTCAAGAGCTGAAACACTACTCTGGGGCTTTTAAGATCCATCATATGGACACAAATGTCAAACACTGGATTTCATGCTGCGGGGAATCTGTCCCCACTTGTGCTGTATGTCTTTCTGTCCTGAGCCCTTCTGCTCTCCCCCATCACCCTATGGGATGCGAGGCCTCACTCATAAGCCAGCCAGCCTATTTTCACAAGTCCCCAGCTGCATTTCAGTGAGCCCAGTGTCCCTTCAGCTAGCCCTGCCTCTGCTGCCACTGAGTCTTGTGACAGTTAGAGCTCAGAGAAGTCCTCCATCCTGGGTCACACCTTTGCAAGAAAGGAGGACTGGGTGGGGTCCTCCTGGCCTTATCTATGGAGCCTTTCTCCTCTCTCTGTAGTATCTGAATATTCTAGGTTACCAGGGCTGAGGTTGTGCTGTTTGTGGGAAGCGAACTGTACAGACTATGTGGTCTATATCCTGTATGTGCGGTTTAAAAAAAGACAACCATACAGACTGTGGTCTAAATCCTGTATATGCTGTTTAAAAATCAACCTTTGTCCCTCAGGAATCAAGATATCCTACTGCTAAAGATTGTCTCAAATATTAATGAGCAAAGCCAAGCATGGTGTTGCATGTCTGTAATTCCAGCACTTGGGGAACTGAGGTAAGAGGACAACTGAGTTCAGGGCCTACTCAGTCTACATAGCAAGACCCTGCCTCATACCAAACTTGATGAGCAAGTGAGAATTTAATGAAATTATTTTTCAGTTTTGTTCTTCTAAACTGGATAAAGGTACTCTTTTGAAGTAGATTGCTCAATAGCATTAATCCTTCCAATTAATCATTGAATGGTACACACTACAGAGTATATTCTGTTTACTCTGATCATGTGGCTGGTTTGTGAATGTGTGTGTGTGTGTGTGTGTCTCTTTCTCTCTCTCTGTGTTTTGCAGCTTTCTAGACCCTAATATAGCAGGAAAGTATGTCATTATCACGAGGTCAAGGGAAGACTAAAGCTCAAAATCTAAATGATGTGTGGGTTTCACTGAACACAGACAATTCACTTTTACAACATAAGGTAAAAACATCCTAAATCACATGAATTGGGACTACCTAACTTTAAATTTCTGTGTCGATACTCCTGGTAGAATAATCAGATAGATTAAATACCTGACATCCATTTTCTTGACCTGACCACTAAAATCTCTTTCCATGTATTTATTTTGCAGGATACAGTGATGGAGCCACTGAGATCAGTAAAAAGGGTGTTTTCAATGTTGGGGTGTGAGAGCCCCTAGGGAAGTGCCACACTATTTAAGTGTCTGTGTGCTGTAATTTGTCTTTTATCAGCTACAAAGACGTTTAAAGCATTTAGAATAGGACTTCAGTGATCTCATTTAGAGTGTATTTTAGTTTGCTTTAAAAAATGAATAATTCCCAAAATGGAAAATGAGCTTAATCTGCAAGACCTTCAATCAATATGATTAATAGTTTTTAAATTTGGAAAATTTTTCTTTAAAAGCCAGTATGTCAAATTATTGACTCATCTTTTAGACCTGAACCAAAATTTCAGCATTAAAATATACTATGAAGCCAGGCGGTGGTGGCGCACGCCTTTAATCCCAGCACTTGGGAGGCAGAGGCAGGTGGATTTCTGTGAGTTAGAGGCCAGTCTGGTCTACAAGAGCTAGTTCCAGGACAGGTTCCAAAGCTACAGAGAAACCCTGTTTCGAAAAACCAAAAATAAATAAATAAATAAATAAAATTAAATATGCTATGAATCCCTAAAAAACTTGGAGTACATAATAGATGAAAAACTAAAGTTTTTCTTCAGTCTATGGAACTGATCTGTTCACCATATTATTCTGGCGTCTAGAAAGTGCCTGTACAGGAACGCTTACTATAGTGGATGCAATTTAGAAAACACTCACAGAGTTAATTTTTACCATAGTTTAATTCTAAACAATAAAATCAATCTTAAAATATTTCTAAAAACTTATTTATACTAATTTGTTCTTTTGGTTTTCTATACACAGGTACTCCTTACATCAAAAGCCTGAGGCAGCTGGGAGGACACGCGCCTCCCTGCACTCAGTGGTCAGAGAAAGGAGGGTGACGGCAAGGTGAGGCCAGTCAGGAACACACAGCAAGACTTTGTCAGAACAAACAAACAGTTTGTTTTTATATAGCAAGGATATAGGAGGTAGTCTGTATGGTTGTCTTTTTCTAAACAGCAGACAGGATGCAGGCCACACAGTCTGTACGGTTCGCTTTCCCACAAACATCACAACCTCAGTCCTGGTAAACTAGAATATTCAGATACTACAGAGAGAGGAGAAAGGCTCCATAGATAAGGCCAGGAGGACCCCACCCAGTCCTCCTTTCTTGCAAAGGTGTGACCCAGGATGGAGGACATCTCTGAGCTCTAACTGTCACAAGGCTCAGTGGCAGCAGAGGCAGGGCTAGCTGAAGGGACACTGGGCTCACTGAAATGCAGCTGGGGACTTGTGAAAATAGGCTGGCTGGCTTATGAGTGAGGCCTCGCATTCCATAGGGTGATGGGGGAGAGCAGAAGGGCTCAGGACAGAAAGACACAGTACAAGTGGGGACGGATTCCCCGCAGCATGAAATCCAGTGTTTGACATTTGTGTCCATATGATGGATCTTAAAAGCCCCAGAGTAGTGTTTCAGCTCTTGAGTCCTTGATTGCTCCCTGACACTCCGAAAGAAAACACACCCACCAGATGGGTAACAGTCTTACCTGGAGTTAGATTAGATGGGAGATGGGAGGAAGCATGAGTCTGGCAAGTAGACCCACTGATTATTCAGTCTTATTTCTGCTTTGGGCACGTCCTATCTTCTGTCTGTTATCTCAGATAGTCATCCTAGGAGGAGTCACTTTAAGACAGTGATAACATATAGATATCTTGGACCATTGAGGTTTTATTCGCTATTTTTTGATATCTTATCACTTTGTGCCTGCAACAGCTGAGCGAGAAAGGGGAACTTTGATCTTTCAGACCCTGTGTATCCTGGTTGTCGAAGCTGGCTTTCCAGAGAACACCAGCAACCAGTGGTGCCATTCCTTGAGAGGCCTTCACAAAAGCCCCCTTCCCCTCCTTTCTTAATTGGTCACCTTGAGTAGGTTGTAAGCATAACAAACCTTCTCTCAAACTTGGATCTCAGTGCTGAAAACAGATTGATGGATAAACGCAAGTGAGATATTGGAGCCCAGGGAATAAGTTCACTGAAGTCAAAGGACCTGAGTTGTGGCCTCCAAGAATAAACCTCGATGCCAGGCAACTGGGGTATAAAACATGGCTCTGCTGGGTAACAAAAATAATTTGGGACATCTTCATTTATTCCCTAACTTTCTTCATCTGTACGTTAGAAAAAAAATCAATACTCAAGCTTACTCAGTTTGGGTATGGAGTCAACTGCCAAATAAAGTATTCTACAAGCAAGGCTGTGCTTATACTTTTCCTTTTTAATGGTGGCCTCACAAATCACCCTGGAGTGATTGTCTCTACATCAGTTCTTAAGGGAAGAAACCTGGCAATAATACCTCAGATCGTGAATTAGGAACCGTGGGCTGGGAAATTATTCTCAAAAACTTCAAATCAAGGTGTTGAATTTTTTATTTTGTTTTGTTTTTCAAGACAGGGTTTTTCTGTGCAATATCCCTTGCTCTGGAACTAACTCTGTAGACCAGGCTGGCCTCAGACTCACAGAGATCCTCCTGTCTCTGTCTCCCGAGTCCTAGGATTAAAAGCATACACCACCACTGCCCAGCAAGGTATCGACTTTTGATAGGTACAAAGACAGGATAGTATTGGGCAGTACCAGTTTCAGCTAATTGGCTTTGAAGGTAAGATAGGGGATGCATTTGTGAGACTTACTCTTTTCAAAAGCAACTATGTATTTGAGATTTGTGTGTAATTAGGCCAAACATTCCACTTGGTTTCTTTTTTTGTCTTTTTTGAGGTATCAGATGTCTCATGTAGCTGGGGATGGCCAGATCGCCCTCCTGCATCTCCCAAGTGTTATGATCATGGGTGGCACCATGCCCAACTTCCCTGTGGTTTCATAAGCTAGAAACACAGAAGGCAATTCTTCTCTTCGACCACTAATCTGTATTGGATAGTAGCTTTTGTCCTTGTCTTAAAGGATAATGGGCACATGTGTATAGCCTGTGATAATTTTATATAACATAGATTTATTAAAAATCCATATAAGGTATTCATGATCATGTACATTCATCTTTTTCGTAACACTTCACCCTCTGAAATTATTTATGAATGAGTTTGTCTCTTGGAGTTTGGAGTTTAAGCTTTGCATGAGCACACAACTTATCTCTGTGGTGGCCCTAGTCTCTAGAACATGCCTGGCATGTAATTACTGAATGAGTCTTAGAAATGATGGGGGGGGGGAGAATCTTTGTGCCCCATGCATTTGTGTTTGTGTATTGAGGGTGGGGTGGAGAGCAGAGAGTCATGGCAGGGTGAGAATATGGAAGGGAAAAGAGCTTTTGAGATGCTTCTTGGGCAGATAACCCTGAGGCTGACGAGAAAAGGAATTTTGATTGGCATGAATAAGATGACTTTAGTCAACCAACTCACATAATGTTTAGTTTTTCAAGTACAGATAGGAGATAATGATTAAAATCCTGTATCCATTGATGATTTTCCTTCTTATATAGATGGTGTTTCTACCCTAACCCTTCCCTCTGCTTTTGCCTAATCACCCTATAGCCCTTCTACAAGCTAAGATGTTTGCCTAAGCCATTTTCCTACAGGTAGGTAAAAATTGCTGAATTCATGTTGATGGGATGTCCTTGGAGACAGAGTGGCTTGAGTGACCAGGATAGGGTGGATGGGTGGGGTGGGGTTGGATGGGGGGGGGATGAGTGATCTTGTTTCCGCTGGCACAGCACCCCTCCTCATGTGAAGTTAGCAGCAGTGGCTCCACCTCCTAGCCCTTGCTGGAAACTACTGGCTCCACCAAGTCCCGCCTTCTCTTCTCCCCTCCTCACCCTCACCCCCACCCCACCCAGGAGTCTCAGTTTAGTTCCTGGGTTTTTGGCTTCACTCCTTTTGTTTTCAGGTTAATCCCCGAGGTAGTCTTGAGTCCTGGGCCTCTTGACCTTCTAATCCAGCTTTTCTAACAACCTCCAAACGAAGGCCAACCCAGCCATTGCTTTCCCTGCTTTTCGCTTTAAAGTTACCGAGAAAGCCTAAGAAATCCAATAAACGAGCTGACTAATCTTGGTGACTAGTCGCGTCACCAAGACAACAGCTCCATCAGTGTTTCCACAGATGCTCGGTCAACTTTCTATTTCTCCCTGCTTGGACCGCTCACTGTGACTACATGTTTCTGGATAGTATCTGTTCTCTGCGCCCCCTTCCTTCTCTCCCTCTCCTTCCCTGCTTCCTTCTCCCTGGATGCCTCCTTTCTTCTTCCACCTCCCCTGCACACTAGGGTGTTTGATCTGAGTGATGAAACTCTCTTCATTTCCCTCCTTCTGCCACTCTCCACAGTCAACCCAGCCTTCCTCCTTGTCAGTCATAGAAAAGGTTTATTGGTGTGACCTTCCTAAATCCTGGCAGCAGTTTGAAGGAATTACCGTCGTTATCCTCATTTATAGATGCCCAAAGTTTTACTGAAAACCCATATGTTGTTTGTCCCTCCAGTCTGTGGCCCCCAAGGCAGAGCTGGTCAGGCATTTTCTCAGGTGTGGTCATTCATTCTCTCCACTTCAAGACTCCTCTGTACTTTCCCTTAGCCCATTCTTTCCTGATGCTTCTTCTCAGTCTCCCCGCTGAAGCTCCTCCCAGCCCTTCTTCACCATGTACCGTTGACTCGTTAGCAGATATTTATTAAGTACTGTTATATCAGATACGAAGGACTGGCATACAAAAAAGAACCCATCATCACTCACCCTAGAACTTTCATTCACATAATTTGTTCTAGCCATTCAATTTGTGCCCATCCTCCAGATCCCTTCTTAGTCTACAAAGCTGTGGCTTTTTATCTGGGGGCCCCTACTTGATAGATGGATGAGAAGCGTCACCTGTCTGTGCTCCTTTTAATATAAAGTGGCATACTTGAGTGTTCAAACTTCTGTAGCTCCTGCTCTCTCTTTGGTTTAATCTTAATAAAAGCCTCTCCACTAACACAAGAAACTCCAATCAAACCAGATTAGACCAAATTAAAATGCCCATGTTTAATAAATGCTACACTCTTGGGTGGACCAAGACAGCATGGCAGGGAGAAAAGCCCATGCAAACCCCAAATCACGTGTTCCTTTTTCCAGCAGGAGCCTAAATAGCCTGTGGGAGTGGTCCTGACCCTCCCCGGGGGAGGGGTCAGCACTTGGCAGGTTGGGAGTTGGAGTCAGGACCAGGGCAACTCCCAGGCCAGGAGCTTCCAATCATCCCAGACTTCTTGGTTATAGGGGTGTTAGAAGACTGGGGTTATGCCCCCAACTTAATACTACACTCTCCTCATTTCAGACACAAGAAAATTCTAAAAACCAATCCTTTGCTGTTATGGAGGGATCTGTTGGCTTGAAGGCATTTCAACACCTGAAAGGTGGGCAATATTTGTGACACAGAAATCTTCAAGTTTGTGTTTCGCCACTTGTAGTGGCCCTC